GAGCCGAAAGTGGCTGGGGGGCGCCCACGCCTCTCCGGGGCCGCCTTTTCTAATTCAGCGAGGTGGGCTCTTCGCCGTCAAAGGGGGCGTGGGGCTTTCTCATTAACCCTCCGCAGTCCGGGGCGGAGGAGGCGGCAGTGGACGCAGAGTTGAGTTTCGAGCTCCGTTGGGGGTCCCAGAAGCCGCAAGCGTGCGCCTGGGTCGCGCACACACACAATGTTTAGAACCTTCCTAACCAAACCCTCTCCGAGTCCGCAAACGCTTGTGGAGCACCCACGCCTTGCCTGGCAGTTTCACCAGGCAGAGTTGTTTAAATCCCCACAACATTGCTCTCTTTATTAGGCTCTCCCCATTTTTCAGAGGTGGAAACTGAGGCTCAAAAACATTAAGCCAGAAAAATACACGCTTCTTGTCCAGGACTCTTTGGACCAAGCCATTGCACACCCAGTCTCCCCCTTTCACCTCCCGCCCTGACCTCCAAAGCTGTCTCTGCGAGGGGAGAAGTAGCTGGGGATGAGGGAAGCTCTCAGTTTGGGTGAGGATTTGTCCCTAGAATCACAGATGCATGAGTCATCCGATCTCTAGAGGAGCTGGGGAAGCTTTAATACCTCACCTTTTACAGATGAAAAGGCTGAGTCCCAGTTCACACATGAGCCCTCCTCCCCAAGTTGGTCCTATCTGAGCTGCAGGATCCCCACAGCACTTTACGCTGCCCAAGAGACAGGTACCACCTGAAATCTACCCTGTGCCTCACCCCCCAAGTTGGGAGTCTTCTAATTCTCCCAAAAGAATCCTAGGGGCTGGCAGGGGCCCTGAGACTGGCTCTGCCCCTGCTAACAGTAGAGCTCCTGGTCTGTAAAATACCTATAGAACTGAAGAAAAGCCACCAAGTATGGAAGTGCTTAATGGACTGCAACATTCCTGGGGCTTTTGCTCTCTTGTTTGCATTTCCCAATATGTATCCATATGTACATGCCCCATATGTACCCCTGGAGTACATATCCCAGGGTATCATATGCAATCAACTTCACCCTCTCTCCAGACTACCCACCCTCATCCACTCAGTCCCCTCAAATCCTGCTGGGAGCCTTTTAAATGGAACTTCCACACTTCCCAAGTCCAGAGTCTCCATCTCAAACTAGGGATGGGTAGAGTCCATCTCAGAGTGGACACCCCCTAATGGGAAACATAACTGGATTTAGGACTACTTCCTTCTTCTCACTCTCCATCCCTCTCTCAAGGCCTAAAAGATTTGGAGAATTTGGGTTATCAGGGGATTTTCAGTGCCTCCCCCAAAAGGAATCTGAACTGTGTTCCTTGGGCAGTTGGCCAACACACAATAAATGATGAGGTCATCCCCCTACCCCAGGAATTTGTAAGCATTCTGTCTTTCTCCTTCCCCTCCTTTACTTGCATAATGAGATCTTAAAGACCAGAAAATTCCATGTTGCTGTGAATTGGCTCCATGCTGCGAGCATTACAGTAAGGGAACAAGAATTTCATTTTTATCTTAAACTCATTTTTCCAGTGCCAGGGGCTGCACCCAAGCTAGAGGGACCAAGGAGAGGAAGGGAGAACACTACTCCATATATCACAGGATTCTTTAGGGCAAAAGGCTCTAAGAAAAGAATGAATACATCCCAGAAACCTCAGGACTGAGGCAGTAGTCCGAGTTTGGTCTTCCTCTTCACACAAGGACACTAAGTTCATTCTGACCCCATGACCATGTACCAGGAAACTTCTGTGTGTCCAGCATTGTGCCAGATGCGGTGAAGGCTGTTAGAGAAGCAAATAACATGGTTCTCACCCTCAAGGTGCTTATACTATTCTGTAGGAAGGCATTAAAATGGCCTTTTTCCTTCAAAAGATCGCAGGCAGTAGGGACAAATGGTCTGCAAACAAGAAGAGGTTCCATTTAGATGATGAGGGGTAAAAACACAAATGCATAAAATCAAGAAATGTGCTATCGCCCATACTACCCAGACCTAGAAGCCCCAGGTCAGCTCCTGGCTCCCCTACTAATTTGCTGGGTGACCTGGAGTAAACAGTGAGAGGGGAGTGGCTTGTCTCTGAAGACCTTTCCAGTTGTGGCCTTCTGGAACTCACTTTTCCCTTCATCCCCCTCTCCTGTCTCCAAGGCAACAGTGGATATACCCAATGGTATTAAGTGGTCACTCTTGTAGGCAAGATTTTCAGCTGCAGCACCCCCAGCGGGGCCATGGGAACCAAGAAGAGTGAAGATTTTGTGACATCCCACTGTAAACCCCTCCCCACCTCAGAACACCAGTTAGTTAGAGTCCAACTCTAACAAGTACCAGCTGTGTGACCTTGGACAAGTTATTTAACCTCTCTGAGCATCCTCATCTGTAAAATCATCATCATCATAATAGCACCTAATTATAGATTTGCTAAAAGAAGTCAATGAATGATTCACATAAAGTACTTGGAATGGTATGCCTGACACATTATAATGCTCAGTAAGCTTAATTATTATTTGCAAGGCTTTGGTGAGGGATAAAATTAAAGAACACGCCCTTCTCAAACCCTCAAAGTGGGTGTTCAGAGCTTTCTCAGAAGACTTGGAGCCCCAGGGTAACCTAACACATCTTACTCCATGGTCAACAATTTAAAACAAAACTATTTTAAAACAGATATTGGCCCTGGCCAGTTTGCTCAGTGGTTAGAGCATCGGTCCACGGACCGCAGGGTCAAAGGTTCGATTCCTGGTCAAGGGCACATACCTAGGTTGCAGGCCCTGGGGAGGCAACAAATCAACGTGCCTCTCTCACATTGATGTTTCTCTCTGTCCCTCTCTCTCCCCCCTCCCTCCCTTCCACTCTCTCTCAAAAAAAAAAAAAAAAAAGGAAAAATATATCCTCTGGTGAGGATAAAAAAAAAGGATACTGTACTGAAATGTTATTGAGCAGAATGCACAATTTACATTATTTTTTTTTTCAATATAAGACACACTGTGGTGGGCGGCAAGAATGGGAAAGTTTGAGCAGCCCTGGAAAAAGCTGGAGCAGCAGTGCCCTGGGAAGGTCTATCACATTTTCAAGTACTAGCATCCCTGGTTGGCCTCTGATTAGCGCTCTACACAAATGCTTGTCTTTATATTTCAAACTATGCCCCCGGAACGCCCTAAGTACATGTTAAAATCTCAGTAGAGGCAGAAGCCACTGTTCCTAAGAGCCCAAGTAAGGGAAGATTAAAGGCTTGGAGTTGGGAGCCCTGTTGCAGAACTGGCACCTTCTTCCCCAATTCCTTGGTGACCTTTGGTGATCATATAACCCCTGGAATCCAGATAAAATGAAAACTGGACAAATAAGTGTCGGGTGTGTTGCACTGAACTTTTGCTTCCTCAAACACGGACAGGCAGGCGTTCTCATAATCCGGCTTTTTCAGACAAGGAGATGAGAGAAAAAGTGATTTTTTTCTGGGGTCCTGTGCTCTCCCCTTTCTTAAGTTCAAAGGCACTTAAAACCGGAGTTATTTGTACAGAGAGAGATCAGATTTCTTTGTGGAAGAAGACAATCCCACCCCCTGCACCACCACCACCAGAGAAGTGGGCTCCTCTGCAACTGTTTCCAGGCCTTTCCGATAAGAAAATATCAGTCAGCATCCTCTTCAGCAGACAAAAAGCAGATCTTCGCTTCTGCTGAAGTCAGCAGAGAAAGCCACTGAACAAAGAAGTAAATACTCATCAAGCTGGAGCCAAGGTAAATATTGACCTTCTGGCATGATAAATCCTCCTGTTAATCTAAAACAGAAATCTCCCTCTCCGGGTTGCCCTATAAGACATGGATTCTGCAGTTCTCCCAGAAGTTCAGGGAGGCAATGTAAGAACAGAGTGGTTTTCATACTGATTTCTCTAGCAGCCCATGTTCCCAGCTGTTCCAATCCCAGGACCGCACAGAAATGGGCTGGGGTTGACTCAAAGTAGCAGGACGGTCACAACAGAAGGGCTTCTTTGTTTTGCTCCAAACTTTGCGCTTGGCCAGGGCAAAATATGAGCAGAACACGGATATTTTGGAGATGCTGACCCTGAGTTTTCTTCTTTATCTGGACACCCCCAAAATTCCCCCCAGGCCCTATGCAAGGAAAGGTTCTTTGCTCAGCATACCTACAAGTGTTAGCCTACCTGTTTGCCCAAGCATTGGCAGTGGAACAGACATTCAGAAGACAGCAAGACAGATGGCTCCCACAAATAGCCCATCACTAGAGGCGTAACAACTTTGTAAAACATTGTAATTAAGCAGAAAGCACTACCGATGGCCCTGAGACTGTGATTCTAGACCCCAGAGGCAAGAAAGGGGTCTAAGCAACTGTAGAATTTTCCCCAAACAAATGTGAATAAGTATTGTAGACTCTGTTGGTGCTCACCAATGTCTGGATCTCCTGTCCACTCTGGGCACAGAAAAGACCTCCCTCAGAAGCCCCTTGCTGCTAGACAGAGCCATGGACTAGCTCTGGCCAGTGGACTATGAGCAGAAAGAACCTGTGCCACTTCTGAGCCAAAGAGAGAAGAGGGAGTGTGGGTTCTCCAAGCCCTCTTTGTCCCTGTCACAGCAAACCTTCCCTGGGCTGCACACTGGTCAGCCTGGGTCCCTGAGAACAGAACACAACTCCCCACCCACTCCACCCTCTGACTAGCCTCAGATATCCTTTATTTTGAGATGTCAGTTGTCACTGCAGCATCAATTAGCCTTTTCTGATTAATATACCAAGAACATATGCGTGGTTTAGGGGCTTGGTGAAAAGTGGCCCTTTGCCCTGCAAAAGCTGTTAAAATGACCTCGTGAGGGCAAGGTTGGGCCTTTATCTGCATTTTTGCCTGATCTAGGTCACTTTCCCAGCTGTATCCTTCATTCTCAATGAGCAAACCCTCATCTATGGCACAGGTGAGGCTCTATGCCAGGCCCTGGTGGT